AGCTCAAAGTCTGGATCCGCCACTGTATTTTGTGCATGGAGAGAGGTGCATCAAGAGTAAAGAACATTACTCACACAAGTGACTCAGGCTTGGCTTATTAAACCTTAAGAATTGTCTACCCAGAGTCTAAAGGCTCTACAAAACACCTGCATGATCCCCATTGTATTTAATATTTTAAAATGTTTACGTGTACCATGGATGGAGAGTAGCACATCAGAGTAGAGCAATAGTGAATGAAATTGATAACATCCTGGACATGTATGCCAATGGACAGAAGAGCTGTTAAATCATCAATCAGCAGCAAACAAGGTTTTGTCTCTTTACCAAGAGACGACTTGATTCTGTTGCACAGAGGCTGAAGTGTAAAGGTTTGACCTCTGCAGACAAAAACAACTTACAGTATTACTACTTATCACATTCAACTGCAAGATACCAGTGATAGCTGTATAGCTCAGCTATCCTAAAAGTGTCTCAATTAACAGACAAACTCCTGGTCTGATTGATTGCATTAATTAAAATTAAGTTTTCAGTTTTCAAATATCCACAGAGTAAGAAGGGTATAGTATCGTAGAGTAAAATTTACATTCATAACCCAACTGACATGACTCCTGCCCCGGGGAGGGGAGTCCCATATAAAAAGGACAGGGGTGCTTGTCGTACCATTTAGGGGGTTAAAAATGTGGTTTTGGTAACTCTTAGGGTGTTCAGCCTCAAAAGGTTCACAGCGGGAACTTTTGCGGTATGTTATAAGGTATTGAGCCAAAAAAAAAAAAAAATACATGACAGGAGATGATGTGTTGCTTTAGAATTGGTACCTCTTAGGCGTGAAAAACATTTCAAACCACGCCCACAAAACAGGATCTTGGTACATCTTAGGGGTTCTTTTCAAATTTTCTGACAAGCACCCCCGTCCTTTTTATATGCCCCTCCACCCCTGGGCTCCTGCCCAAATTCAAATCCCAGCAACCTTCGTGAGATACTTAGTGTAAANGTAATGGTTATTCCCTTACAGATGCCTGTATCCACATTGACTCTCACCTGAAGGGCCATTTTGTTATTTTGCCATTTTGTGTTTTAAACATGGCGTTATGTTTGTAGGACAACGTAAAGATTTGAATGTATGATTGCAATCAGTGAATTATGTTGTTCCAAAAAATATCCAATTTCCTTTCCCACAGAGGTTTTTTTGGCCTGAAACTCCCCTCCCTGTTCCTGTGGAAATTCCAGCTTTTGTTCGTACTTTGCTTTTAAAAGTTTTGCTTTTGACACCCGTTCTCCCCTTTGAAATTTTTGATAACCTTCCTGGGGTGGGTATTTAGCATTACCAGGAACCACACATTTGCAATTTATATTTTGACAGGAAGTAAATTTATTGACAATAGAGTAATAAGTAGAGGAAAAAAATTGATATTAAATAAATAAATAAATAAATGACAAATAAACAGATTTATACTTACTAGTTTCTGAGCCACATTGTTGTAATGAGAGAAGGACTGGACTAATGCAACAAAAAATACTTTAAAACCTCCTGGAAAAAAGGAAAAAGCCAACAGTCTTTGATGTGTGGTAATTGACTCAAAAACCTTTCATGCACAAATAGTGATGAGTTCTTTTTATATAACAATTCTGGATCATTGCGTCTTTTGCTAAGAGCTAACAAATTAGAGCTATATGTACATCTAACCCCAGGGGCCTCTATTTGGGAGGGGGGTTGCCCAGGGGGGAACTCCTAAATGTATATAAAAATGACGGGGATGCTCGTCATACCTTTTAGGGGTTAAAAAAGCACTACCACAATCCTCTCAGGGAATTCAGCCTCAAAAGGTCACAGCAGGTGCTTTTATAGCACCTTTTAGGGTATTGAGCCAGAAAAAAAAATGACAGGAGATGATGTTATGTTTTAGACGTGGTATCTCTTAGAGATAAAAAAAAATTTAAAGCCATGCCCACAGAGGGTCTTGGAGCCTCTAATGGGTTCTTTTCAAAATTTCCGACGAGCACCCCCGTCATTTTTATATGGGAGTCCTGCCCTAGGGGGTTGTTTACAACATGACATGGTAAAATGACAAAATGGCACTAAGGGTAAGAGTCAATGAGTGTACGAGTGTCCCCCGCAATTTAATTGTTAGGTTTCCCCAACAATTTACCAGTACCCATTTATACTCCTGGGTGGAGATAGGCACTGAGAGAGTTAAGTGTCTTGCCTAAGAACACAACCCTGTGTCCCCGGCCAGGGCTTGAACCCAGACCGCTCGCTCCAGGGACGAGTGCACTAACCATGAGGCCACCGTGCCTCCCACACAATAATTGTACGGATTTACAATAATTATTATTGAGACCTAACCACTGTTTAGTCATTGATATTTAGGCTGACNAAAAAAAAATGACAGGAGATGATGTTTTGTTTTAGACGTGGTACCTCTTAGAGATGAAAAAAAATTTCAAGCCACGCCCACAGAGGATCATGATACCTCTTATGGGTTGTTTTCAAAATTTCTGACGAGCACTCCGGTCATTTTTATACGGGAGTCCCGCCCTAGGGGGTTGTTTAAAACATGAAATGGCAAAATGACAAAATGACACTAAGGGTAAGAGTCAATGAGTGTACGTGTGTCCCCCACAATTTGTTCGGTTTCCCCAACAGTTTGCCAGTACCCATTTATACTCCTGGGTGGAGAGAGGCACTGTGAGAGTTAAGTGTCTTGCCTTAGAACACAACACCGTGTCTCTGGCCAGGGCTTGAACCCAGACCGCTTGCTCCAGGGACGAGTGCACTAACCATGAGGCCACCGTGCCTCCCACACAATAATTGTACGGATTTACAATAATTATTATTGAGACCTAACCACTGTTTAGTCATTGATATTTAGGCTGACCTGAGTGCTATTTAGGCTAACTGCTGGGTGCCATTTTGCCATTTCATGTTTTAAGCACACCCTTTGGGAAGGAGTGTAGGAAGGGCATATTTTCTGAAATGATTTGTTTACAAGGGAAGAGAGGTTATTACCAATAAGAATTGCGATGCAAGATCCCCATTTCAAAAACATTCCACTAAGAGATGGGGTATTGCAACTATGGATGTGCTTGATATCTATAGTTAGAAACCTCCTAGTTTAAGTTTTAGCGCATTTTACATATTTTTCTTTTTAGATTTTAATTGTTTAATAGCTCACTTTTGTAATGCACAGGTGATCATATATTCATGTAACCTGTGCAATGTAAATGTAAATTTTTATTATGCATAATAGGTATGCATAATTATTATGCATACCTTTAATGTACATGGTAAGAAAGTGATGTATAAGGAAGCTTCCATCATTCTGACAATCTGATATTAACACAAACTTCCTCTGCAGGTTAACAAAAAAGTCAATAATAATAACAATGTATTAAATAATTAAATTGTTAAACAGAGAGTCAATGAGTCTAAAGAAAATCATTTAAGTTTGGCAAACACTGACAGTAATGTTTTGCGCAGGGAATATTTGGGGTATGGGAGAAAGGATATAACATCATACAGTTAACAGTTGAGGATATTAGTTCAATCTTCTTCTTACTTCTTCAGGCTGTGCAAGGCTCCAACAATGGAGGTGTGTGGGGGTCTCTGGAGTGGATAGGGTAGGGGGTAGGGGTTTCCACGTGTGTAACAAAGACCCTCATATTTTATGATATTTAAGCTATAAGTGGTCATTCACGCAAAGAAAACCTTGACAAACCAGACTACAAAAACAAAAATGAAAAATCGGGCAAAGGCGATGCTTGCTTTAAATGTACAATCTATGATTCAATCCTAAGGAAGCTTATTAGTGAGCTAAAATTTCCCCTCTGTCCCGAGTCGGGACAGTGAAGGGAAATCCAGGACCACAATCGATTCGTGACAAATTACAATAACAAAAAAAGAATCAGCGTTCTTCTTTGTTATTTAAGAAATTCTTCACGTACCTTGGGAGGGCTTTTTTCGCTGAAATTTGTCAAAGAGTTCAAATCTGGAAACATGATCGAAAGTTCCAATTTTACACTTTGCAGCCCTTTCCCTGTCCAGCGGTTGGGCACTAGACTCGACCGAGGGAGACTGTGTGTAGTTGGAATCAAAACAAACATGGCGGGATCTCTGGAAGATAGAACGTTTTCACTTTGGTTAAAGAATTTTTGCGATACTTTTAGAACTTTATCAGATATTCAGAAAAATCACACAATTGAAGGTATTATAGACATATGTGGACCCGAACAGCTGTGTTTTCTTTCCACAAAACTCGAAATACTCGTAAAAAGGGACTACCTCAAATGTTTGCCTTTGGAACTGAGTTTTCACGTGTTGAAATGGCTGGACCCAGTGTCTCTATGCAAATGCTGTCTTGTGAGTAAGGAATGGAACAAGGTTATTCTCAGCTGCGATGATGTTTGGCAAAACGCTTGTAGACGGCTGGGAATGGAAGGTCACGATAATTCTGAAAGAACTCCATCAACAGTTACCACGTGGAAGCAAATGTACATGTCGCACTTGAAGAATATGAAAAAATTAAAAGATATAGACGCTGTGGAGAAGAAACAGTTTTATGGTCACACAGCCCGGGTGTTTGCACTTTATTGCCGTGGAAACTACCTTGCAACTGGTGAGGACATTAAGCTTGTTGACAGCTAATTTGGAAGATGAGCAATTAATATGTAAATTGCAGATTAAGGATAGTTTTTTTTNCGCTTTCCGTTCGAGGAAAAATTCTGGTTTTAATTCCTGGACATTTCTCAGTGACAAATAGAACAGCATTTTCCAGAATTTTTAAGAGAGAGGACAATGTTGCAAAGTATACCCCAATTTTTGGAAATTTCTCACTGGGAATTTCTGTCCCATTTGATTTGGGGGGACCTACACCATTTTCAAGGTTCTTTATAATTGGCCAGTGCATGTACATGTATAATTGGAGATACATTTCAGGGATGGCCTGGGCCACAAGGCTTAAAATACAGAATTTTCTCAGCTCCTCTTATACCAGACCAACACACTCTCTTCACTGCATGTAGCTTCACTCCTTTTTGAAGCTCCCCTCTCCCTCCCCTAACTTAATACTCCTAGATCTGGCACTGGCCTGTTTTCATAATGACAAAGTTCATTGTGTAGTGTATTCAACCCTCCCCCCCATGTAAAAAGAACGGGGGTGCTCGTGGTACCTATTAGGGATTGAAAACGCAGTATTGGTACCTCTTAGGGTGTTGAGCCTCAAAAGGTCCACAGTGGGAGCTTTTGCAGTACTGTTGAGGGTAATGAGCCAAAAAAACGATGACAGGAGATAATGTGTTGCTTTAAAATTGGTACCTCTTAGGGGTGAAAACAATTTCAAGTCGCTCCTACAAAACAGGATCTTGGTACCTCTTAGGAGTTCTTTTCAAAATTTCTGACGAGCACCCCGGTCCTTTTTATATGGGAGTCCCCCCCCCCNACTGTACCTCCATTGAACACTCCTATAACTGATACTGGCCTGTTTTCATAATGAAAAAGTTCATCCTGATTGCATAGTATATTTCAACATCTCCTTTCTGGAATTAACTCAGTCCAGATTTTACCAGTTCTATAAAAATCTTGGATTCTGATTACAGTATTAGTTCTTCATCACTGAACTCTCATGGCTTTCTACAAGTAGTAACAATCACCCAACAGATACAAACTGAAGGCTTCAACTGAAATGCAGAAATTATGCTATCTAGGATCAGATGACAGATCAGTCCGGCTTTGGGACTTGAAGACTGGCCAATGTAAATATGTTCTGAAAGCTCATACTTGTGCAGACATTTGCTTTGATGACCACAAGGTCATTACAGCATCCTTTGACAATACTGTCGGCATGTGGGACTGGAACACAGGAGAGAACTTACAGTTCTTCAGGGGACACACTGCAGCAGGTGAATAAAACATGATGTCTGTATATGGCTGTTTTGACAAGGGTTGGGAAGGGAGGCATTATCAAGCGGTTCAGGTTTGAGTCCTAGCCAGGGCCATTGTGTTGTGTTTTTGGGCAAGACGCCTTGCTCTCACAGTGCCTCTCTCCATCCAGATGTATAAATGACTACCGGCAAATTTAATGCTGTGGGGTAACCCTGTGATGGAATAGCGTATCATCCAGGGGAGAGTAGAAACTCTCCTAGTCGCTTCATGCTACAGAAGCCAGGAAAAGCTCCAGCCTAATAGACCACTTGGCTCCTATGCAGACTTAATCTTGTACCTGTCCCACAAAAGCCTGAAGGCATACACACAATCTCTTTGGTTTTATGGGTAGTGATAATTTATTGTTACTTGTTTGAGGTTCAGTGTTTCAGCAAGATGGGAGAAGGAAGCACAAATACATGTGGTTGTGTTGTTTCCTTCCGCTGAAACACCTTGAGCTTCAATCAAGCAACTGTGAACCACCATAACCTATAACACCTTTCAAGATTGTTGCATACGCTTACAAAATGCTTTTGTAGGACAGCCTTTCTAAAGACAGCTGTATGCAGATTACGATAATCCAATCTGGTCTAACTTACAATTCAAGTTTTAGAAATGGATTGAGGTACTTGTAGTCAGCTGTGGTGCAGCCTGACTTACAATCTGGATGGCTCATTTTCAAATTGTCCACCACCTCTTAAAACTTGGTGGAATTTAAGCACAGCACTTTTTTGAGTTCAACTCCTACCACTAACATAAAGTGGAGGTGAACAATGTGAAACCCTAATGGGGTTATAAAGTTGCATTAAAATGAGATCATGTGTACCAAAGACATCTGCAGTGGAGTGTTGATCAATACCCTCGATCGACATCCTGATCAATACTCGGTGAACATGCAATTGGCACTTGATTGACTTCTCGATTGACACTCAATCAACACTCAATCAACAATTGATTGATAGTCGGCAGAGTGCCAATCAACTCATACGTATTGATATAAAATTAGTCAACTCTTGACTGACTGTGGATTGAGATGTTGATTGAGCGTTGATTGAGTGTCAACTGAGGTGTTGATGGAGTGTCGATCGAGCATTGATTGAGGGTATTGATCGAGGGTATCGATCAACACTTGACCACAGATGCGTTTAATACACATGATCCGAAAAATGTACTGATCATGTTGCCCAAATTATATAATGAATCCTCAGGCTGGCGTAACAAAATCCCTGGTATACTGATCTTTGAGGGTCTTTTATTTCACCTTTGATTGAAGTGTTTACAGTTGACCACTGTGATGAAGTGGACACAATTGTAAGTGGTTCTGCTGACTCTACTCTCAGAATATGGAAAATGTCATCTGGACAGTGCCTACAGACCAGATATGGACACTCAGACTGGGTAATAAAGGTATTATCAAACTCACCACTTTTATCCATATCTTGCCTAAAGGGTGTAGAAAACCTTTGAGTGGGGTTCCCATGTGAACAGGTGGGGGATACTCTGTGTGCATGACAAAACGCCACTATTTTAGCCATTAGAGTATCTTTTAGGGTGCACTTGGGGAATTAATGATAAAAAATGCTCTCATTTCCATTTTTAGACTTGATTTCTGCTGGTCTACTAGCATGGGTTCCTTTCCTGAACAATGGCTGGTGATCATGCCTAGTCCATTTTAAGTGGTATCATTTAGGGGTCAAATAAAGCTCAAGCCATGTCTACTTTTAGGGGTTTAATTCAAATTTTCCGACAAGCATCCCCAACCTTTTCATATGGGAGTCCCCCCACGGGGGGAGGGGGGTAGAAAACACCCTGCAAGAAGGTCTGCTAAAAGCCATAGTGTTTTCTAGAAGAAGTAGAAACCATTTCTTTTGGGTTTCTATCAAGTTATCGAAAGCTCATAAAGATTATGTCAGATTGATTGCTCTCTAATCAGATGTAGTGAGTTAAGTTTGATGGTTCCATGTGACTTTGTGGCTGTTTGTAAAATCTGTTTCTAAAATTTCCTATCATGGTTTTACACCAAGGTTATCCTGAGAAGAGCTGAAGTGGACTCACGGACTCACGCAAAGAACCAGCTTGTAATACTAAGTATGGACAAACGTGCGATCAAGGTGAGCTGAAAATTCAAAAATCTCTAAATCTTAGCAGTCTTGTCACAAAGTTTTGCATTAGGCAGCGTCACTGTAGGAAAAGGTGGTCGATTTTGGCAGGTCTTTCTAAAGAATCAAACAAATACCCTAGTAGAGTAGCTGGTCAGATCATTTAAATGGCTATTTTTACTTTTTACAACTCTGATCATCTCATTAGATTTTCTGTTTGAAACTTGTCGAAAATTGGTACCTCCGAGGGGTGAAAGTAAATGAGAGTCACCCTCGGAAAGTGACATTCTGCTATCTTTGTAACCTGGTTTTCCTGTCAAAATTTCTAAGGGTTGCCCCTGCTCCTTTTACGTCGAGATGAGGTTTGGGGGGGGGGGAGTAGACAAAATAAGATTAAAACAAGGAAACTAATTAGACTGTTTTGCTGTCTATTTTAATTGTTTTGCTAAGATCTGGTCTCTCAGCCATGACTGTGAAAAATGTTTGGCAACATTGAATCCTTTGGAGTCAAATGATCACCTACAGCCCCGCCTTCAGTTTGATGGACAGACCATCGCTTGTGCCTCAGAAACAGGAATTCTGCTTTGGGATTTCAAAACTCTGCAAATGGCAAGGTACGTTAGTGAAAATGAAACACAATCCCTTTTTTGAGGTCCACTCAGAATCCCATTCCCGAGAATCGACTGTGCCTCCGGTGTTCCTGAGAAATGTTATGCAGTGCGCCAACCTGCATATAACGCTTTCGATGTTATTGAAAACCGATCTTGTTGTTTATTATTGAATCTATTATTGACTTTAAAGCTGACTATCTGAAAATCGAAATTTTGAGACTTCTTTCTCTGCCATGATATAATTAAGAGTCTATGGTTTGAAGAAACATCTAGTAATGAGGCTGTGTGACGAGCTTATACCAAATCCGTTATTACATCTGTGTTTTATTTTTAAGTTGGATTCGCAACTTGACTACATATTAAGAGGCTACACATGAGGCTGTTCTCAGAGCGTACAGTACATGCGACTTATAGTCCAGATTGGCCGATGAGAATTTTGCCGTAGATGGCTTCCGTAGAGATGAAACGATCGGGGCTCTTCTAGAACGAGTTTCGCCCCTCTCCTTAATCTCTCTCCTTTATCTCTCTCTTTTGTCTCTCTCTGTCTCTCCTGACTAAATTTGCCGCCGGGCTAACGCATGCTCATGCTGCCCAGGACTCCTCTGCATCCATTTCAAATCATCCCTCTCATTCCAAATGTCTTTTTTTCTGCTAACTATAAAACCTGGAGTTTAAAGCTTATTGACCATAGATGGTTGGTAATATTTTGCGCTAATGCTTACGTTCAATTAGCTCGAGTTAAGTTTCAAGTTTAACCACTCAAAACACAAGGCTTTCGAAATAATAAGAAATACGCTTGTTTCATAAAAGCCGAGTTCACTTGAACGCCTCCACGACAAAGTGGAGCTCTAAATAAATGCTTCGGCCTGTTATTAATAAAAGCAAGTTTTTCTTTTTTCTTCGCTTGACATTTCTTCCGGCAGGGTCTTCACCGAGTCTCCTGCCAAATGGCTGGTGGCCTATGGACATATGTATAGTCTGGTCATGGACATGAACTCGTTGTATTTGGTAAGAACTAGAAGTGAGGACACTGTAGCGGAATATCCTCTTCCGCCTTTCAGAAGGTCTGTGCGCGGCTCAAACTTTACTCCGGGTGAAACCGGCTGGCTGAACGGGGGACTTACCAGGCCCCAAGAAAGCCTTGTTTTCGCCACAAGCATGCCGGACTACAGTGTTTTACTGTTCATGCTCAAAGAAAGCACGTGATGTGGTGTCGGCTGGCCCCTCTATTATAATTCGAACTGGCCTGGTTTGGAGAATTCGTACTGAGCGCGCGCAATTCCTCCCGGAGACGTGGTTCTCATCAAAGGAAGGAAATTCGGCACGAGTCGATTAATAGTGGTTAAATTTCTAAGGAAAAAGTCAACGGAATTTGCAAAAACTGATCAAATCCCTAGTTTAATAAATTAGTTACCTAAAGAAACTAGAAAAACTGGGAAACAATTATTAAAAGGTTTCACACGCTGGCTAATACCAAAAAGAAACAACTCAAATTGAGTGTTCGCTAATTGCTGTTGAATCGTTTCGATTGCAGACTTCAATCTTCTCCATTATAATGGAATAAAACATCAAAATTGTAAGTATGGACCAAAAACAAAATACAAGCATATCTGTTTGTCTCGTCAATTCGCATAATTTAAAATAATTTTCTGGATGAAAAAGAACTATGGTTAAAGAACCTCGATGTAATGCCATTTTCAGTTTATACGTTGAAGGTCGTAGTTTTTCTGCGCTTTACAAAATTCCCCAGGGAGTAATTTTAGTATTTTTCGTTTGAAATGAATTACGGATAGACGAATGTATTCTTTTCGTCTCTAAACTGTTTCAGTTCAGTTCCAAGACTTCTCTCCGCTTAACAAGGAAACGAGGTTGTCGGTTCAATCATGTTGTTTTAACTGCCGCTGACCATGCGGACTCGGCCTCGTCGTGTTCTAATAACAAGTCTTTAATCGTTCCGTGAACAGGATTCACCCGCAGAATAAGGCGTGTGTTAAATCTCCTGTAAGCTATAGTTAGTTCATTGTAATTTTAAATGCGCAAGACGGACTGGTTGATAAAATTTATTGTCAACCGAAAATATGACTTGGCACGATGTCCAATATATTGCTTATAAACGTAAAGAGAATTTTAATTCTTTGTAAAGCAAGAACACAATATCTAATCGTTTGTTCATTTTACAAGCATGAAATGAATAGAATATATGTACAAAGTAAATGAATATTTTCTCTGCTAGAAGAAATGTGTGATTTACTACTGATTCCTTTTTTTGAGAAATTAAGTGCACTTACAGTAAAGCGCGAAAATTTCGGACGTCTTTAATTTTGAAGAAAAATTCCGACAATTAACCCGGCCGAAATTTTTTTGCAGTCCGAAATTTTAAACCATAAAACAATTTTATTCTCAAGATCTCCTGCCAAGACTTTTTGGTGTGTTTTCTTGTGGACTGGTAGTACAGGGAAAAGCCGGGAGACCGCTTAATATTCTTCGACGATTCTTATATTAATAACTTTTGCCATCCCGAAATGTCCCTAAGACCCTTAATATGTTTTTCGGTAATCAAAATAAATTTTTAACTTTTTTAAACAATTGAAAATTAATTTTTAACTCGGATTAAAACAATGCTAATTCATTTCTTAGGATTTCTTTTAAGGAAAATAAAATAAACCGTTAGCCGTATAAAAGCCAAAATCAGAAAATATTAACCGTTAGCCGTAAAGGCGACTACCCCATTGAGGCCCTGCACGATTTTTAGGTATATGTAGTGCGTGCATTGCACTGTACTCAAGAGTGGTTTTCAATAAACCGTCTTGAATGACGTTAGGATATCATTAACAGCATACACGTCTATGCATACATGGAAGATTAAATGGCATGTTACGAATTTATTTATATATGCCTTCAATGTTTGTATTAAAAAAGGTTTCAATTTGAGTTTGCCCCTTTTAACATCGTCAGTAGAGAGAACAATTTCCTCTCAATTTTGTACTTGGCCTTCTCATCATAATTAGCTTTCGACAGATCACTTTGATTCTATTGATTCCGCCCAGGGACATTTTAATTCAGCTCTCAGTTTTAACAGTAGAATTGAGTTAATCCTGATCGAACATTTGTTTGACAGCAAGTGTCAATTTTTGTTTTTTAATTTTGGCTGTTTGATTACGATATACATGTCTTTTCTCCCGTCACAATAGCATTGAGATTTAGTGCAACACAACCTGTCAAACCAAGCGAAGGCCTTCGAGTCTAGTTTTGCGGGATGATCGTACGAACTTTAATAACCTGGCCAAACATAATCTGCTTATATGCAAAGATGGCACATTTACTACCATTTGTAATTACTTCAGCTTGCAACACGCTTATTCTGTTATTAAAAACAGTCATATCATTTCAAAACACTTACAAAACCTTCCCACAGGTGTTGACTCAAGTTTATAACTCACGCCCACGAAGAAATTTTTGAACTGTTCATTGTTAGCCTGCGTAGCCGGCGAGAATTCGCGCGAGTGCTTTTGTTTTGTCGGCCAAGTCACGAGTTGATTGCGAAATTCCTCACGGAAATAGAATTTTATTTCCTCGGAGAAATAAATCAGTGCCTCCGACGCCAAAAAACACTCGTTCGCGAATCCCGCCAGCTACGCTCGTCAGTCCATTGGACAATTGCGTGTATCATACTCTTGGTTTAATTTAATTTGATGACAATGCTATTTGTAATTAACTACCCAAGTATCCAGTGTACATTTGTGGTGTCTGTTTGCTTTGGACGCCTTCTGTTCCGTCGCTCACATTGAAAAGGTATTATTTTGCCAGTGTAAATTCCATTAGCACCTCGAGGCATCGCTACTGTTCGACTCGCAATGTGGATTAGCATAGTTCTGTTTTAAACTGTCTGCGTGTTGGTGACCTTGGTAGACAAAAACAGGACACTTCGCCTCGCTGAACGCACCAGATACCACTGCATAACCATGGCTGGTGTCTTCATCTTGATTTATGCGTTCGTGGTATTTCCACGTGTTCTTTACAGCGTCGCAGCAAATGATTTTCGTGTCCCAGACGATCCGTCAGTGCAGAATCCAGATCGTCCGCCTGTGAAGGACGATCGCGCCGGAGTGTTCACCATGACGGCACGGGAGGCATTGCAGGCCATCGAAGAAGTCCACAATGGCACCGTCGACTGCAAAACCATGCTGGCGGAAAGAAGCTTGAAGCTTCTGTTTTTAAAATATGAGAACAGTGTTTACACAGCCCAAGCGAACCTCGCCATTCGAACAGCTAATTTAATCTCGGATTTGCTCCCGACCGGCTCCGCCAAGAGGTTGAATATTTCCGGTGAGCCAGTGTTGAAGTCGCACGAGGAAGTCCTTTACGCCATAGTTAGAAACAATCTCGAAAACGATCCACTTATCGTGGGATCGGCGATTATTTTCGACAACAACAGCTTTGTAAACAACTCGTTTTATGCGCCGTACGCTTACCGGAACTCAAACGACTCGTTTATCAAAGTCACAGATTTGTCCGCAACGTGGAGTTACCTCCACGAGGCCTTCGTGAGGCTGATGCGGAATAAATCCCACGAGAGACCTTTTCCAACACGAACCACGTACTTTTATCCGCGGAAAAATGGCTCTTACGTACAACAGCGACTGCAACTCACGCATGAGTTTGTGGAATTAATAGACGGCTTATGGAGCAGGCCTTACTTTGAGTGCACCACGGCCAGGGCATGGGTCATCACATACACCTCACCTATACTGGGCAACTGGGACAAGAATGGACCAATCTCCTTCATGTAAGTTGACGCGAAATCTCGTAGCTTTGTTGTGACTGGGTTGTTTTCCAAACTATATTCAAGACAAAACTTGATTTTTGAAGGAAGGAACTTGAGTATGTTCAAGGGTTAGAGTTAGGGATATGTGTCCCTTTTCGCCTTTTCGAAGCCTTTTTATAAAGGACACAGAGGAAATCTGTCAAGGTGACGTTTTAAACACCAATTTGTCTTTTGACCATAATAACCTGTTTTCAAATTTGGTAAGTTTGAGCTAGAAAATCTAAGTTTCAAATCCTTTTTTAGCTCCTCTCGCTTCATATGGAAGCAAACATTTTCACTGCTAAAAGGAATCAACATGGGAATTCTCTTTACTGCTCGTAGCACGCCCCTTTTTCTGCCAGTAAGAGGAATTTGATTTATGCAGTCAATTCGGTTTGGAATATACGCGCAGGTCTTTCCCTTAAGACCTATTCACATGTATTCACGCTTTAAAAGGTTTCATTTTGCGCTTCAAATGGAAGGAAATTTTCAAATAATGCGTCAAAGAAAAAGTAGTGCAGAAGGAACAAGGATGGAATGTAACGTAAATTTGTCATCCCTTCGTGACAATTTTAAGCCGTTGTGTGACAGTCACGCAAGCATGGGAAATCAGTTGTCTGTGTAATTTTCTCTTTGCAGGGGTATGACGACAATTGACATTGCCCTCACGAACGTGGACATTAACCAGTGCGATAAGGAGTCTGGCGGCCAGTTCCAGTTCGAGATATTCGCCGGGACTCATCGCTGTAAAAATGAAACCACCCAGGTAAGATAAGTTATGGGAATTACGGTCCCATCCACACTGCGCCGAAGAAATTTGAAAACGCAGCTTTATTTCTACGGTTACCAGTAAATTGCATTGGACGCGCGGTAGCCTAATGATTAGCGCCCGAGCGGTCTGGGTTCGAGCCCTGGCTGGGGTCATTGTGTTGTGTTCTGGGGCGAGACTTCAGAGCGGAAAAACGTAATAAGCATGCGCGAGTTTTGGCTGCGCGCCAGTCCCCAAGGTTGAAAAAAATGGGAGGAATTTAGTCGATTGTGTAAACAAAAAAAGCTACGAACTTAATAGGCTTTCCCAATTTTCTCGGTAAGCAGCAACATTTTAACGTAACTAATGGAAAGCTGGTGTATTGTTCTCGTAGGGAATCAATTTTTTCTGGACAAAATCAACCTATTTTCCCGCGGTATACAAGAAAATTCGATGCGAAGACATTTTTTTCCACAAACTCCCTTTACATATTGCATCCATATAAGCAACCTATTGAATATATAAGCACGAAAGCAGGGGGAAACTTGTTTTCTTAACAGTGAAATGCCGAAAAAAATTTCATGCTTGCCCAAGTATAAATAAATCAACCGAGTGACATCCTCGCGTACCCTATTACAGTCCTTCTCTCTTTCCAACCATTGCGAACCTCTGCAGCTTGCAATATTACCTGAGCCCGCAAGTAGGGCAAGGGATGCGCAGAAAGCTGCGCAGTTCGTTTTTCCGCTCTGAAGGGCGAGACACTTTACTCTCACAGTGCTTCTTTCCACCCAAGTTTATAAATGGGTACCGGTGAATTGTAATGCTAGGGGTAGCCCTGTGATGGACTAGCATCCCATCCAGGGGAGCAGAAATACTCCTAGTCGCTTTATGCTTGGGGAATAAACAACTGTCTGATGGGCTATCAAGCACTTGTTTCTGATCTTGCTTGGACGTAGAAGTTAGTGAAACCACTTTGCTCTCATTTTCTTGGCATGCGTCAATTACACATTCGTTTTTGTCAAAATTCTGGCCAGATTGAAAGTGCACGGCGTGCTCAAACTGCATTGCTAACCTAGCTAAAACATGATATAACTACATTTTATTGTTTTATCATTGTAGTGCAAATTTGTCAGTGGACTCGGGTTTAGAGCTGGTTCATACAGATGTGTCTGTAAGCCTGGGTACTACTTTCCCAATGTCACAGCTCAGAATAACTATTTCAACGGATCTGTCATCGAGTCTGCAGCCGCTGACACTAGTAACAGCTATCACTCGAACCCAGATTCCTTTCAATGCCGCCAGTGCCAGCCTGGTTGTGACGCATGCGTGGATGATTCGCCGTGCATTGTGACGTTGAACTGGCCTCTGAGGAAAGCTCTAATGGGTTTAACTGTAGTCACCATTATCGCCGCTATTGCTGTAATTGTCTTTATCGTCTACTTTCGAGATTTGAAGGTGAGGGAGTTGGCTTCGTGAAACAACCTCTTTCTCTGAGCCCATTATTCTTTGGCTCACCGCCAATCCTGTCCAAAGAGCTCTCGTTAAATTTGATAAGGGACAGACCATTATTATTTTGAGTGGGGAGGGGTTGGACGGCTCCCCCCCCCCNGAAATTCCTGCACAGCAAAAACTGCTGGAAAAAAAACAAAAAAACAAAAAAAAGAAACAATTGTGCCAGCGGAGCCATGGGAAAAAAAAGTACTTTCTACTATACTCCCCTCCTTCCATCCCCCTCAAAAAGTAATGGTCCGTCCCTAAAGAACTTTTCTTCTTTTCTTTTGACTCAGTATATTTCAGGAACCAATATTATCTATACAATGGTTCGAAGGCAACTTTTAAAAAGCAGCAACCTTGAATCTTGTAATTAGTGAACAACACCACGTCACAGACACGTGACAGAACGTATAGCACCACGTGATTTCTTTTTTTTATATATATTTATTTATTTGTGATTTCTTTGTGCTTATAGGTGGTGAAGACAGCGAGTCCTCATTTTCTTATCATCATATTGGTGGGATGTATCTTGGAGTACGGCGAGGTTAGTTGAATTATGTGCTATTGTGAGACAAACGCCAAAGCAAATCACTCTGGCCAATCACAAAGGGCACATACAATCCAGTGAACCAATCAAAACACGAAACCACTACTTGTAACTGACGCAAGTCGTGGAAAAGCGTGTTCAAGCGAGTCACGATTAATTTTAGTTTTACCTCTGATTTGATGATGAAGTGGCGCGAAATTTTAAAGCCAAACGCGTAATTCCTGGTCTGATATCCCTGTTTGGGTTGACTAGGAAGTTTTCTCTAGGGTTTTCTCTAGATTTGGTAGATTAAACATTAAAAGTGCGTAAGAAATTCAATACTCCTTCTACGACAGCACTATACTTTGTTGAAGATTTTACTTGCTTTTGTTGTATTAACTGTACGAACACTAATTTTTATGATAAGTTAGCTTTTCTTTGCGAGAAAGTGGACTGTTTTTTAAACGTTTCACAAGTTGTGAGTGTGAATTCAGTGATGATAATAAATTTTATTCCCTTGAGTTTGGAGAATGAAGATTCATAGTACTTTTGAAAAAAGAATGGTCAAAGTCTTGCCCAATCAACATTTTTAAACAGACACAGTTCAGTTGTATATAAATCAAGAGTCATCTTCTCCATATACCGTTTTTGTTGCCTTCAGTCTATTCGTGACAATGTGTTCCTTTGTACTTATTTTCCTTTTAATCTTCACTGTAGATTCTTGTGGAATATCCCGAACCACAGGACACGTTATGTATCGTTCGTCTGTGGTTTCGCCATATTGGATTTGGGCTCGGTTTCACTTCTCTTCTCCTCAAAACATGGAGGTGAGTTTCTTGAAGCCTGCGTGGCTGGCGTACAAAAGGGAAATGAGAAGAGAAATTTGAATTAATTTTCTTTTTTCGTCCGAATCACTTCTCCGATGATTTTCCAACTCAGAGCGCCGGGTTTCTGGCAGATCTGTTTCTAAGCAACATGACGTTTCGGGGCGATAAGATGACAATATAACTTTCGGGTCGCACGTCAAATTTCTGTTGTTTTTGTTGAGTGGCAGATAAAACTAGACGAGCGCAGAGCGGGAATCCGATGTGTTCAATCATGAGAATTGGACGAAATTAAATCGTGTTACAATTAAATCAAAACTCTTACAAAACTTGCTGCCCATAAACCTCAGTTAAAGTTAAACTACTGTTAGATTTCGGTTAAACTTCGGTCAAACTTCGTTTCAACTTCGGCTAAACTTCGGTTAAACATCGGTTAAACTTTGATTAAACTTCGGTTAAACCTCGGTTAAACTTCGATTAAACTTCGGTCACACGTTTCTACAAATCAAGCGACAACTGCTGCGAACAGATAAAGTTCCTGAAAATGTTAAATTGTTCTATCAAAGTGTAAGCGCCATGGGTTTTCTTTTGCAGGATTTCCGTGATTTTCCGCGTAAAGTCTGCTCAGAAGATTAAACTGACTGACCGCCATCTTCTCCAGCGCCTCGCTCCTATTCTGTCGCTGTACATAGTTTACTTGCTGGCCTGGTCACTTGCGGGACCGAGTCACGTGACTGAGTCAACGATGCCAGGGGATCTCAAGTTTGATGAATGTTCTTTCGACTGGTGGGATCACGCAATCTTGATTTGTAAGTCTTTCAGTGTTATTGTGTATTGTACTGATTGTAGCCAAGGGAGTTAGGAGAGGAACCTAGGGAAGGGACATATGAACTCAATCAATCAATCAGTCAGTTAGTCAGTCAGTCAGTCAGTCAATCAATCAATCAATCAATCAATCAATCAATCAATCAATCAATCAATCAATCNTTCCCTTGGTCTAAAAAGTGTTAAAATGTTACAAATGATTAATGAAAACGAGAGAAAAAAATCGGACATGTTGAAAATAAGAAAAAAAAAATCTGACGTATTGAAAAGGAAATTTGAAATATTCAGAGCAACTGGATGTTTGAAGCGTATATAACCACTTTATCGTCCGTTAATCTATTCCTGACTCTTATAGATGAAGCAGAAAAAAAATGTTCTTGTTATTTGGCTGTAATCAACCAGACGATGAATTCGGTTTTTCCTTCGAATTTTTCACCTGTTAGTTTTGTTCTAACAGCATAATTTTATTGCGCGTAAACAGCCTTCCTCATAGCTCTCTGCAACTTCTTGTTGTTTGTATGATAATGAAAGATAAAAAAACTGTTGATGGTTGAATTGTCTTTGACTAAATTGCTCAATCCATTATCTCATGGCACAATGTATTGGTTTTCTGCCGGAGCCAGTTATTAAGCAGAACACACCAGGTGGTTCGTCTATTTCTGACAGGCCATATGTTGTGGCAATGTTCACAATTCACTGCTTGAGGCAAACGCGAAAGCCCGCATTTGTGATATTGTGTTATGCGCTGACACGGAAAGCCAGCCGAATGCTACGCTTTTTAGAATAGTGAAGGGCATTTAAAAGGCCGTATGGTGCAATCTTTCGTCGTTTTTTTTTTCTTTATTTTAAGTCTTTCACTTTTGTGCGTTGGTTACTGAAATGAAGGATCGCCACAAAATTAGCGAGGTAACCAAATGTAGTGCAAATTTATTTCTATCCCAAACCAGAAATACTACTGAACAAGACCGACAAGTACAACAGGGTTCACCAAAGTATTGGCCCTTTCGTTGAAAATTGTCTTTACATTTTAATTCCACTAAGACATATTTAAACGCCTAATAGAACTTAGAAATTAACAGTTAACTTAAGAGGGATAAATTTGTTATCATATTATATTTTATTTTATTGAACATACGGGTAATTGGCTTTTTTCCAGTCCTTTTTTGCGAAGAATGTGCCCCATAACAGACACTTTACTTTAATATATTTTTTTTAACAAAATAATGGCAACAACTGAAAATCTAAAAGTGTAAAGTTTAAGTTAGCCATGCTTAGCCTCCCTATTTTGTCTTTTTGTTTTTTCGGCAAGTTTCTAGCAGGCTTTGACTTTTTTTTTTCCAACACGGAAAACCTCACGTTCTCTGAAAAAGCTCTCTGAAACAAAATTTTAATCAGCTCTCAAGAGTGACGTTTGTTTGTCCAACGCTATGTTGCTTGCGTAAATCATTACCTCATTAACCACAATTGACGTCAGTGTGTACGTTAGTGGTAGAATCATGCTTCCACCTGCAGCAAAATTCCATCCTAAAATTTCTTTCATGAATTTAAACTTCCTATCGCCTTAAATGCAGGGTCAAAAAGTACCTTTGCAGTACCGTAGTTCAATGAGAGGCTATAAGTCTTGGAAGTTAAAGGGGAAAATCCGAAAGACACCCCCTGGAAAAGCACTCCATTGTTGCACAATTGTTAATCTTAAGCATTAAACCAATAGCGTGATAGGTACAATAGAAGTGTCAGCTCTATTTGATGCTGTGATGGCCCGTTCCCATGGCGACGTCATTGAGTTATTACTCGTGTACATAGTCGCATATTAGAGTTCTTTCTAGAACTCTTATCGCACTGAGTGCATTTAAATCTCGTGTTTTATCCTTTAGTACAAGACAAGTGTCGTATTTGCTGTCTTCAATTTAAAAACGTTTTCACTTGCGGGATTGGTCAAAACGTGTCACGTGGCCAATTACGGAGATGAAGAATCCTATAACTTCCATTTTGCCCAATGCGGCTTGAGTAAAGTGTGCTTGGATTTTTTTTTTCCAAAATGAAGCTCTTCTCGCATAAAAAGCAATCAAACAATACTAAACGATCTTGGGTCAACTTTTTTTCAAGACCGAAAACTTTGAAAACTGTGTCCGCCGAATTTCATTTGCTTACTTCAACTTCATAATGACCAAGGAACATTTCTTTCCCGGTTTGCACCGATGCTTCGACAAAACACCACTGACAGAATGCAGATAGAAAAACAACAGAAACGATTTCCCCGACCAAAAAATTATGAACAGACAGTTACAAGAAAAACACACTGTATTCGCGCGTTCCAGGCCCCCTATTTAACCCCATTCAAACGCCGAGCAGCTACACTTTATATGCGCCGTATATAGCGGGAAGATAAGCGCTCGGCCCAATCTCCGTCTGCCACGCAGGCCACCAAGTAGCTCCAGTGAATTATGGGTAGGCAAAACTGCTTCCTGTATCCCGTGGATAAAACTTGCCCTCGACCAAATTTAAAATTGCTGTTTGCTTATTCCTCAGGGCCTGAATTGAACAGTGGAGGAGAGTATATTACTGACATTTACCAGCCTATTCTCCTAGTGTTCTAAATTAGGTGCTGAAGGAAGTCGCGCAGTCTCTCTTTTGCTCTAAAATTCGTGGGGGACGCAAATGAACAGAGGCGTGTGGCGAAGCCGCGAGCCGCGAACAGCGTAGACGTCGTTGACGTTCTTCCCCGCGGATTGGATTTTCGAGCAAAAGAGAGACTGCTCGCTGTCTAGGGATGTGTCACAGTCCATAGGACAATATGACCAAATTATCTGAACTGATCTCCACGTTGTTCTAGTAACATCTAAGAGTTATTTTAGTAACTTATGATTTAAAGCATTTGATTTTTCTGAGGAGTAACCTCTCTTCACATTATCATTCATTGCAGGCTTTTTATTGGGGACCTCGCAGGACCTGATATGATTTACCTTCTGGAGTTCTTTAGAGTGCAGCTCAGCGTGTCTGTGCTCCTAGGGCTCGTATTCGTTCCCAAGGTATGGACTCCTCTTTAGGGAGAGCCTGTGTTGTTTTATCTGTTAGAGTTCTTCTAGGTCGCCTATTCTTACCAAAGCTATTAGACTGCCGGTCTTTTCTCGAAATCAGACAGGAATTATGAGGCGAGACACTTCAAACTAGAAGGGATTGGGACAAGACATGATGGGTGCGGCACCCAAACCCTTTTCATCCACATTGCCCTTTTGCGTGCGTGTTCACGGATAAACACTCGTCTGACCCTAAGAGGAAACACCGGCTGTCAGCAGTCTACAAAACTGTAGACCCCTCTTTGAAACGTCCTGTATCCGAATAACCAGTTCGAATTCGTCTAGGTCACGTGTTCGTTCTTAAAGCTCGAGGTCCTTTTGTTAAATGAGCTCACATGATTTACGTGCTAGGGTTCCTAGCTTGAGACCCTTTCAAAAAGGAGCCTATATAGTTCACCTGTTGGAATTTTAAGATATAGAATACAAAAAGACAGACTGTTTTGTTCTTGCCGGTGTATTTTTTTAATCCAGTGTCCAAATGTTCTAGGAGATCAGAGTCTCTTCTTGGTATTTCGTGTCGTCAGAGAATGAAAAAGATCCCAGAGGTCTAGGTTTCTAACCGTTCAGTTTCATGATGGCCGCCTTACTGCTAAGAAAAAAAATATTTACTCATAGCATGTTGCCTGTTGCAGCGTTTAAGGTATTTTTATTTGTGAACATCTCACGTAATTTTAGACCATCTTCTTTGCAGCTATAACTTCATTGTTAAATATATGTTGATTTTTTTTCTTTTTTTCTTTTAAACATGATATCCTTTTCTTGTACAGATCGTTCGTGTCATTAAGGGGCGTGGCGACGTATTTGACACAAGTGGTCGGATTGCGTCCGTAAAGGGGGCTGCTCTTAACATGACAGGGCAATCCTCAGAAGGGACGGTGAACTTGAGCGCTGAAAACGAGGACCTTAAGGTGAATATAACAAACTCGTTGTGCATATTATATATTTCTATGACACCTTTGGCCATATCGTGTTAAGTTGCTTATTTAGTTTCAGTTAGCATCCTATGCAGCGTGGTGATATCAAGTGAGTGTACTGCTCAATAGCATTCATTTGAATGGTCACACACCAGGGATTTATCCAAAGACTTGAAAGCCGTTAGCACCACCTTGTACGGCATAATAGATAGAAGATAAAACCACCTTGTGCAGCGTGATAAACAGTACCACATGAAAGTACTGCTTAACAGCTTTCATTTGAATGGTCACACACTAGGGTTTCATTCACAGACTTAAAAGTTAGAACCACCTTGTACAGCATAATAAACAGTACCACATGAAATTACTACTCCATAGCTTTCATTTGAATGGTCACATGCTAGTGTTAACTAGAGCTGCGTTGCACAGCATGACACACCATCACATGAAACTGCTACTCAGTAACTTTCGTTCGAATGTTAACGGCATTGTATCGCACAAGTACCTCTCGACATCTTTCGTTTGGTACGCCATTCTCCAGTCTTATTTTATTGAAGGCCAAAGACAACAGTACAACATGGATGTGCCGTGTGATGTGAGTGGCCAGTTGCAAATGAGGGCTTCGTTCACAAACTTTAACTTCTTGTAACTGATTCTACTTTCGTCGTGTTTTGACTTTCAGGAAGAGATACGTAAACTGTACGGTCAGCTACAGCAAATGAAAACCGCCAACATGGAAGCGGGAAACAGACATCTGGGACGTTCCGCTTCCATTCTGTTCGGCGGCTCCACTCCGTCACTCTTAAACTCAACCGCCAATAACAACGGAAGTTTGGCTTGTTTGGTTAATCCTGGGGCAAAGGAGAAGCGACAACAAAGATACTCTCCCGCTGCTGAACTTGTAAGCGACTTTGTTTGACGAAGGCTTATCAAAGAAGGGCGCGGTCACAAATCCGACCGCCGTTCATACAAGTCCAACCATTTGTACATATGGATAATTTTTTTACGCCTAACTTTGTGGAAACGAACTTCCCAATCACCCTTAATCATTCCAATCATCTTTACAAGCATGATTCAATTATAAGACATCACTGAATCGCAGCTTCTCCTGGTTCAAGAACTTGGCATAGGATATCGAAAGCAATAATACTTTCACTTAAAGGAGCTTAGTCACGGCATTTTGAGATATGGCCACGCACAAAATTACATTTAAATTGAAGGAAACTTGAAAATGTTAGTTTACTAAGATAGAAAAATACCAAAGAGATAATAAGAAACCATAGAGGAACAAGGATGGTTGAGGATGGAGAAGATTAACATGGATTGCAAACTTCGAACTTGAAAGATTTAGGCTAAACTTTTCAAGATAAACCGTGACTTAAACCGTGACTGAGCTTCTTTAATCATCGGTAATGACACAAATTTACCCATAACACGATGGCTGTACTCTGATTGGCGAACGAATGATGGGGAAGTTTCTTTAATCATTCACTCAGCTCCACAATCAACAGTATAGAAGGTACAATCTTGTTTGTTGATCAAATGCCGTGCTGAGGATCACCAGGTTTGTACTAGAGCTGAATAGAACCATGTAAAATGAATAAAATTGATTCAGATTTTTCTATATGTTGTTCTTGTGGCTTCTATTAGCATCTTTGTTCGTCTTCTTGTTCAGTCATTTGCTGTACTCCGTTACACAGCAGAGGCGTAATTGCTCGATTGTTCAAAGGTTTCCAAATGGAATCCTTGATTTCTTGACTGTTCGCTTTAGAAGCCTTGATCACTCAATAATGTTTTGTTTGCATGAAGTCTTGCTTTAGCACTTTTCCTGCTCGCGTCTCTCTGAATCTTAGACTGAATCAATGAGTTATTGCCATTTAATCCCAATTGGGTGAAGGTTTCTCACTGAAATCCTTTCCGTTCGATTCGTCCCCAACAGTGAAAATCAATCAATCAATCCAACTTTATTCACGTGTCAGAGTATTCTAGCTCGACTAAAAAGCCGCATTACTATATGACACCTACACTAAAAAATCCCAGTCTCCTCGGTACCACTTCTGTAACAAATCTAACAAAGGAGGCCATCACAATCTAGGACCTAGGGAAATTTATCCATGAGAAATATAGACAGTAGGAACTGAAATCGGTCTTCACCCTTGAATGCCGATATCCTCGGTTATGATCCAATGCTCGATCACGTTAAATAACAGCATTGTAAAAACAATGATGCAAGAGACTGCAAACGAAAATGCTGCTGGTATACGTAGGATCTGTGAAAGATCTGATCAGCCAAAAATAGAAACATAACAATGAAGCAAGGCCGGAAATGTAGGATTCCTTCTAGAAAACTGAGGCAAAATCTCCGTGTGGCCTTAATACCGGGTTTCCATGCGATGTTTATTTTTTAAAAAATAACTGTAATGGAACAGAGACCAATCAGATTTGGATAAATGTTCTAATTGGCTAAAAATACAGCACGCTTCCTGTGATTGGCTAGCACAGCTAGTGCTAATGAGCGTTCGACATGTAATCAATCTGTTTACCTAAATATATCTGTAATAAATTAAGTGAAAAGTTCACCACAGTCCTTCTGTCATTTGCACGATAAATATTAAAAAATAATGCACCGTCACGTGGTACATACAGAGCAAAGATCTGGTGACTCAACCAACCAATCAGTGATCGGTGTTTCATCAGACCACTTTCTCAAGCCCCACTTCCCATTTTAGAAACGCTGTAAGTTTTCGTAATTAGGTTTCGGGAGACTTCGTTTTATAAATTATCTTTAGAGTGTAAAAGAATCTTGAAAAGTCTGACACATTTCTGCATACTGGTTTATTTAACGGAAATGGTGATTCTCAAACTTGTCACAACGTGAACGACAACTTGCTGTATGTGTGCACATCACTACGAGTTAATTTGATTCTCCATCTTAGCTTTTATTTTTAAATGATATTTACTAATTTGAAAACAAGCATTTTTGCATTTTGATGCAAATTTAGTGGGAAGTTTAATGTGGCGTGAAAGAGATCGTTAGTGGTTTTTGCTACACAGCGTGGGAAACGTAAATTTATATAAACACAGAAACAAACAGGCAACACAGCAAAAACAAAATCCGGTGTCAAAAATTTTTTTAGCAGTTTGTTGCCCATGGACTCATCGTGTATGCAATTCTGTTTCGCGAACTGCATCGTCAAAAAATTGCACTGTAAACAAGGTATTTACATCGAAGTCACTGAACCATGGTGTTATTTTGATGCAGTTCATCAGTCGGGGTTGATATTCACTTAACATTGACCTTCCCATTGTTAGATGACGTAAATGAATTTTAGTAGGTAATTGACTTCCTGTTTTAGAATATTTAGTTGATTTGCAGCGAAATGTCTTGCACCACAACTCAAGAACCTCGGCGAGCGAGCAGAGCTAAACAGCAATGCCAACACACGCCAAGCTACAAGATTGCGAACAGTTCCTTCAAAAGGAAAATTCGGTCGCTCCAGAATCGGACAGGATTATCAAAAAGTACCTTGAAGTCTCTGAAAGAGGAAGCCTCGATAGTTTCCTTCTCGTCATTCCGGACAAAATTCGTAACGATGATTACTTGCATTATATCCTGAGATATATGCGGGCACATAACCAATTTGACCGGCTTGATCACGAGAGAATCTTTAACAACGTCTTGTTCACAACTGTGGAGAGAAAGGTGACGGAGCTTCTGGCAGTTGTTGCACAGAAAGATCCTCACGCCTTCTGGTATCTGGCGCACTCGTTCGAGGCTAAACAAGAGCCTTTGTATCGACACCTGCATGGACCCATACAATGCTGCGGTATGTAGTTTCATTTTGTTAAAGGAGGTCAGTCACGGTATTTTAAGGTATTTTGGCCACGTACAAAATTACCTTTAAATGGAAGGATACCTGAAAATAGTAGTTTACTAAGTTAGAAAAACACCAAAGAGATCATAATAAACCATAAAGGACCATGGATGGTTAAGGATGGAGAAGATTCACGCGGATTACAAACGACGAACTTATAAAACGTTAGGACTAAACTTTTTAAGGTGCGCAAACCGTGACGTAGCTCCTTAACTTGACGTGGTTACTTTTGTGTCTTTGGAAGAATGTTAGAACTCATCTGCTATAAAAAAAGTTTTTTCCTCGTCTTTGTTTGGTGATAAGGGCAGTTTCAAGCGAAAGTCTATGTCGTAGAGTTTTATACTTCCGTTTTTTTTCCTCATTTGTGACAATAAGCATGATGTTACATAATGATATTCCCTGCAACTATAATTATACTTCCTTCACGTAAATGTAATTTCTTTTATAGTTTCTTGATTATTTTGGTCGTTTTGAGTTTCGTAGCAAGTTCCGTTTCTCACAGACAAGGTGCCTTCGTGCGCTCGTGGATTGAGAATTTAGATATCCATAAACCTCTCTGGCTGTAAACCAACGCAATGCTCACAGGAATAGCAAGGAATTCGTTGCTTTGATTGTGATTACAACGTACTTGAATCAAGGGTTGTTTTGATACAAATATTAGATGCGTAAAAGCTACGAAGTCAGTTCAAGGAAAATTAATGGGCTAAGATTCTTATCCTTGCGTATATCGATCAAAACAAAAGTAGAAACGTAGTGACATTAGAATAAATTACCTGGTGCTAATAAATTCTTACTTTGATACTGTCTCATCAGGAGTTGTTCCACGAGAATTCCTTTATTCAGTTGACAATATAAACAAATCTTATTTGACACGCTGATACACACAATCAATATTTTGTTTTGTTTATGATTTTTTTGTGTTTGAAAAGAGTTCAATTCCCCTCTGACATCATAGCATGGCAAACGGTTTCAAACCGAAGGCTTGCTCTATGCTGTGTCAGGCCCCGTGCACGCTACGCTGGAGGAATTTGAAAACGTAGTTTTCACTCAGAAAACGCCTCGAATGTTTTCCGTTCACACTTCGCCATAGGGAGTAAAAGAGGCAACAATCACCGGTCATTTTGGATTTGTGTTTGAGGAAAACTCAGTCAGGGAAATCACATGACTTTCGTGACGAAATCGTTTTCGAAAAGCTCCGTCAAAATGTTTTCCGTCCACGCGAAAACGCAGAACCAGCGTTTTCAAATTCCTCCGGTTTGAAGAGCGTTTTCAAAAAGCTCCGTTTTCATGACGGATTAGTATGGACGGTAGGGCAAACCGTAAAAATAAAACTGCTTTTTCAAATTTCTCCGGCGAAGCGTGGACGCTGTGCTGGGATGGAAACCGAAAGAAGAAACAAAACGTATCTTTGACAAACTTGGACACTCGTGGCAAAGTCGTCGCTAGTTGTATACCAGCCCCATGTATTAGATACCAACATTATATGCTGGCTTAACTATGGAATACTTGGCTACTTATTNCTGCATTAGCAGAAACTAACTATGGTCCGTTTCTATTCTTTCTAGGACCTATCTATGGACGAAATACAACCGAAATCAATTTTTCGACTTGTGCCATTGATAGGCGATTTAGGTCCATTTTTATAGGCATTCACTCTTAAATCTCTTCGGAAAAGAACTGCGGCTACTGTAAGCTTTGCTCTGGACAAGCTCTTCAGCTCGCAAGTGAAGTACATAATTTTTAAATGCAATGTATTCAAGAAACAAGAAAGAAGCGGATTTTTGGACAGTCTTTCACTAATTCTCCATTCATTTCGTCCGCAGTGTGCAGAGAAATTAGACAAAAAGAGAAAGACGATGAACTACAGTCTTCAGGAATGGGTATCTGTAGATTTATAATTTATTTTACGAAAGCTAGATAAAACCTCTAAATTGGGGTTCTTAGCTCTGTTTAAAATGTTTAAAGATTTATCCATCACATTGATACATGTACGAAAAAGAAAGAATTACACTAGAACGATTAAATTTAAACGGTAGTTATTTTAATAGAATCGTTGAAATGTGGAACGTACTACCTTTAATTTGGAGGTTCAAATGTTGCCGGATATGCGCGCTTTAAGACTGGTAGGAGAGATTTTTTGTGGGCATTGTGAAATTATTTTATTTTATCTTTTAATGATGTATTTTCAGCAGGTTTCATATTTAATATTGGTGGTTTGTCTCGTACGGGGTTCTAACCTTTTTACAGACCATCCTTATGGCTTTATTCATAATTTTATCATCACTATTACTGTTGTTATCATTGTTGTTCTCTCTCGCCAGTTATCAACTAGACATTAGACATTAAATGGTAATAAATGAATTAAAACAGGCCCTTTTTGATTGGTCAATATTTATCGCAGGTCTGGAGAATGAAGTCACGGTGTTGTCTGCATTAAAGAACGCTTTGAAGGAAACGATCAAGGAAACAAAAGAAAAAGTGAAGAAAGTGAAGGGACGATGTAGTGAAAAGAAAGGTGAGTGGAAAATGGGCACTGCTTTCTAGTGAGGAAGGTGGGCAACCTCGTTTCCAGGGTCCTCGCTTCTTTTCACCCCCTAGAGCCTAGAACGAGAAAGGGAGAAGGAAGACGAGAAACCCTGGGAACAAGGTTGGGAAGTGCGAACGATAGATAACGATTTGACAGAGAGAGGTCTGGGTTGCAGCCCCGACGCCACGCTTTGTGTTTTTTTGCTTTTTGGCAAAACATTTCACATAACGCCTTTCTCCATCCATCAATGCATAGTGGTTTGTGTAAAACTAGGACATTGCGGTAGAAACGAAGAAAAACAAGTACAGCAATCGAGAAAACTTTCTTCAAATAGCAATCAAGTTTTTGATTCCTGTTTTTCTATATTTACATACTTCCTAGATGCCACAAATTCAAACACTGTATGTGACACAGAGAATAGTGAACATGCCGAGCACTGTTTGGATGAAGCTACAAAGCCTGGTGACAAGGACTACACAGATACGGAGGGTGTGTAACACACACAAGAAAAACATTATTATTATATAGATTTACCCAAGCCTAAACCCGGAGCTACCCAGTTATTTATTTCACCCTTTTTTATCGATCATTTGTTGACATAACAACAGAAATGAGTTTTTCTCTTAAATGGAAAACATCTGTTTTCGAAAACAATCGTTTCGCTAAAAAACTCTCTCTTTCAAAATGGTTAATGCGATTTTCATGCTATTTCCCGCCAGAAAAACGCAGGCTGCCCAAAAGCCCAGTATCACGTACGCGCGCGCCAAGAAAACCCCTGACTCCCCTCCCTCTCCAGCCTCCAGAGTGTGTGCGGACGCTCGCTCGCTCACACGGTGACGTGATAATAAAATTTTCTCGGCTTGATGGTTTAACCAACAATTCCTACCCATGGTGCTCCGCTATAAATCCAATATCATATTTAATTAACGGAAGCAGTGTAGTGGTAGGAGCGCTCGCCTCTCACCAACTGGGCTTGGACTCGATTCCGGGCTGGTACATGTTGTGGGTTTGTGGTTAGTTCTTTTCCTTGCTCCGAGGGATGTACCTTTCTCTCTAAATATTATATTGATAATATAACACGTTCTCTAATTGGTTCTTAAGTTTCGTGCACGGTGATTACGTTTTATGGCTTTCATGGTCAATATCTAGGAATAGCATATGAGGTCACTGAGTCGAAAGGAAGTTAATTTGTTGGTAATGAGTGAAATTCACTTGGTTCATCGTTACAGAAAATAAAGCTGTCTCATATAAATCACTTTTCGTTACGGCTGTGTCGTCGATAGATAACAGTTTTAATCTTCGCCTTGCACAGATCTAGAGAGTGACGTACCAGTTTTGTCAGCCATAAAGAAAGCTGTGAAGGAAACTATAGAGGAAAAATACTTATCAGCCTTGGCAGCAGTGAAAAACGTGAAGGAGAAGAGAAGTGCACGGAAAAGTGAGTGACACAGTTTTGAGAAGGATTGAAAATTGAATTTTACTGTCTCAACACTTCTGTCACTCATTGTAGACATAACCGTGCGTTTATTTTTCAATTAATTTGTTTAAACAGATGCGACAAGAAAGATACGTTGGTCAAGAGGAGCCTCTCACGTCAGCTATCCCCTGGATGAAGATGAAGAGTCCGGGGACGAGGACTACAGAGATGCTGAGGGTGTGTAACGTTATTAATGACCACATTTCGAGCGCTCTGATTGGCTGGCTTTCGTTTTGGATTATTCGTGTTACAACATGTTGTTAGTTTTGTTTTATTCTGGTGGCTTCTTACCTTGATTATTGGTCTATATAAACGCAAGGGGAAGTTTGGGAGGATTTGGAAAGTTGTAAAATCCGGCCATGTGAGTTGGAGTTCGTCAATGATCGAATTCTTCCAAAGGTTCTATTGTTTGTATCAGGTAACGCATTTTTAGTTCGTAACTAATCTTTTTTTGATAGATAAACTTATTAAGCTACAGCCTAGGGACACTGCATGGCGAGACTCAAATTCAGAACGAGGCAGACGCAGCCCCACAAACTATGCATGACACCACCGTTTCTCCAGCAAACAATGTTGATTTTGATCATAAAAGCTTTTTCGTTCTTAGGTTTACCTTTAAGGAACATTCCCGATGACCCATGCGAACCCAAGAGAGTAAAGGATGACGTCAGCACTACCAAAGATTGGCCAACAGCGGCGTCAGAACAGATGCTCAGCGTGATAACGAGGCGCAAAAGAGCCTACAAAACTGCGTTTACTGCCTTGTCAGCGGTCACCCTGTTTACCTTCCATCCACTTCCGGAGTTTGCCTTTTTGTTCCTGTTTATTTACTGCAACTTTTTAATCATATTGATCACTTTTTGAGTTTCAGCTCCCCTTTCGGTTTTTGATATCTCTCCCTGTATGATTCTTCTTCCTAGTCTCCGTCATCTGTGTCCTGCCTTCTGCAAATGAGAATTTATTCCAGTTTTTGTTGATGAGTTTTAAGACTTTTTGTAAATAATTGCAGACAAGTGGTATTAATTTATACCATGCGGCTGTTAAATAATCCCTTTATCTTCTTTTGTAGATACATTGAAAGGAAAAAACTAGGAATCCGTGGCAAGTTTACTTAGTGTAGACGCGGTTATCTGTAGCTACAATGTTCTTGTAGTTAGACTATACTTAGTCAAAAAGCTCTATTTTTGATAAATCTCCTCTTTGTTTACCTTTTTTTGTTTTTACCTTCTCAAGGAGATAATTACCTGTAAATAAGACATCAGACTGGTGTGTATACCGACAAAATACACTGAGTGACAAGTGGGATATTCCGTTGTACAGAGAGCATTGCATAACTATTTTATAACTCAATAAATGGGACATTCGGGCGGTCCATGATGGAAAGGTTGGGTGTAGCACCACCCATTGTACAAAGGCTTTCACGTATTCTGATTGGCTGTATTTTCTATGGAATGATATAAAGAGTGATATTTGCGGCTCTGGCAGCATTATTGTAGATTATAGCGCCTCCTAGAGGAGAACGCTAGGATGTCATGATTTCATGATCGTGGTTCTCTACTGTATACAGTATACGATTATGTAATGGTAATGGAACAGTTTTTCAATGGCCTTTGAACAGCTGAGCACTGTAACCAATCAGAGACGGAAAATATGTTTTCTTTACCAGTAAGTTGAAAAACCAAGCCAGTAAAATAGATGCACGCTCATCTTGAAAATTTAGAATAAAAGGTTGAATTTTACGGTTTGAGGTTAAGGTGTATTAATTACAACATTAGTAGGAAACTCTCGATTGGAAGAACGGAGGGAGATATCTTGAGAACCAGCTTTATGGAATGAAAATATTCACAGTATATAAGACCCCCACACTCCTGGAAATTCCAATCAAGCCTCATACATTTCTTTAACTTTTTCGGTATTACAGATCCCCTCACTCCCCAGAAAAATTCCATCCCTTCTGTGGGGGGAGTATGGATAATTTCTGGAACAGCGTAAATATATGCACTTTACGATAACTCAGATGAAAATCGCTTTTGAGAGTTATGAAAAAGTTAAGCATTTAAAAACGTTACTAGATGAAAACGTTTCTTACCTCTTTCAAAAGCGAACGTACATTATTACCGTATTTGAAACACTCCACTGAAAATGGTATAGAATCATCTCGCACCTGAAGTTAATCGGTCCTCTGTTGCCAGTACGCCGGAATTCGCGATCGGATCCAAAACTATAAAAATATCAGTCAAATGGTAAGATTTCTCGTGCTGACTTCAGCGACACAACATGAAAGTCACTAAACGTTTGGCACAACTTCCATTAGTTGCAATATATCTTAAAGAAACTACGTTACGGTTTGCGCATGCATCTTGAAACGTCTGCCCAAAATTTTTCAAGTTCGTCGTTTGTAATCCGTGTCAATCTTCTCCATCCTTAGCCATCCTCGTTCCTTTGTGGCTTATTATTATATCTTTGGTGTTTTTCTATCTTAGTAAACTACTATTTTCAGGTTTCCTTCAATTTAAAGGTAACTTTGTACGCGGCCAAAATATCTCAAAATATCGTGACTAAGCTCCTTTAGCGACTTTATTACAGCTCAACGCTGTAACCGCCGAGTGGTGTGATCTAACGTGTGATTCGATCCACCAATCAGACGCAAGCTTGAAGAGGCGTAGCTTACGGAAAGCTTGCGTTCAATATTCATGTATTACCGGAGCACTACTGTATGTAATCGGGGAGTACCATTAATCGTGCGTACATCACTAAAATAAACCACTCAGGAAGTTTCGAATACATTCGCGAAAACGTTTGATACGACTGCGTCGTTGAGAGTTGAAAATTTTTTTGGCGGCAAAATGAATCCATGTAGGATGAAGAGGAAGGGACACTTGAGGCCTCAGGTACCAAGTGATTTCACAGATCAAAATATTAATTCTCTTAACTGACTGCCGTACATTTCTTATAATGTTTGTTGTAAGAATTTGTTAGTTCATCAAAGGGACATACCCTAGGTGATATTTTGGTTTTCTCATTACCGTCTTGCTTGCAAATAGACTCGTATTATTAAGATAAACTAGCCCAAGAAAGTTTGAGTAAAGTTTAAATACCTTTTCCTTGAAGATTCTTGACAAATTCTTGTTCTTCTGGGGTAAACTTTTTGGATTAAAACAATGTCAACTGAGTTTGGCATGTTCAACATAGCGTGACTGGTGTGACACACCATTTGTTTGTCGTCATCAGCCCATGGCGTCATGCCACTCGTGATCACTCCTGATCGGATGTGGTGTGATTTCGACCTCCTTCTCAATCGACCAATCAACATCGTTTGTATGCTGGGGTGTCTAGAAATTGTTGTGGCATGACTTCTAAACTACCCTGAAACAATAATATCTTGTTTGTTCGGAGTGGAATTCACTTTGAACATTCTTTGATTAAACTTCGTTATGAGGGAATGAAGAATCTTGACCATATTCTTAATTATTATCTTGCCATCTTATTTGTTTTTGCTTTGCTCGGTTAATTTCTTAGTAAAGCCAGTTCGAGCCAACACAAACTTGGAAAAATGAACAATTCCCAGTAGAATCCAAAATGTGTTTGTTTGTTGGCAAAATTTCTCGTGAAGTAGCGTTAAGTTATTAGAATACAAAGGAATTGTGTAGCGGTTCTTTTTATCGTCACCATCACTGCTACTTCATCCACGAAGTGATTATACGGTCCATGAAATCCACCAGTCAGAGGCAGTCTTAGAATTAAAATTATAAACTTGTTCTTGTGTTTTGCTCATGCAAATACAGTGAAGTTTAGCTGTATGTTTTTCGGATACCAGGAAAACAAGATAACTTTTTGAGCTTGCCAATGNATGCAATGTATTCAAGAAACAAGAAAGAAGCGGATTTTTGGACAGTCTTTCACTAATTCTCCATTCATTTCGTCCGCAGTGTGCAGAGAAATTAGACAAAAAGAGAAAGACGATGAACTACAGTCTTCAGGAATGGGTATCTGTAGATTTATAATTTATTTTACGAAAGCTAGATAAAACCTCTAAATTGGGGTTCTTAGCTCTGTTTAAAATGTTTAAAGATTTATCCATCACATTGATACATGTACGAAAAAGAAAGAATTACACTAGAACGATTAAATTTAAACGGTAGTTATTTTAATAGAATCGTTGAAATGTGGAACGTACTACCTTTAATTTGGAGGTTCAAATGTTGCCGGATATGCGCGCTTTAAGACTGGTAGGAGAGATTTTTTGTGGGCATTGTGAAATTATTTTATTTTATCTTTTAATGATGTATTTTCAGCAGGTTTCATATTTAATATTGGTGGTTTGTCTCGTACGGGGTTCTAACCTTTTTACAGACCATCCTTATGGCTTTATTCATAATTTTATCATCACTATTACTGTTGTTATCATTGTTGTTCTCTCTCGCCAGTTATCAACTAGACATTAGACATTAAATGGTAATAAATGAATTAAAACAGGCCCTTTTTGATTGGTCAATATTTATCGCAGGTCTGGAGAATGAAGTCACGGTGTTGTCTGCATTAAAGAACGCTTTGAAGGAAACGATCAAGGAAACAAAAGAAAAAGTGAAGAAAGTGAAGGGACGATGTAGTGAAAAGAAAGGTGAGTGGAAAATGGGCACTGCTTTCTAGTGAGGAAGGTGGGCAACCTCGTTTCCAGGGTCCTCGCTTCTTTTCACCCCCTAGAGCCTAGAACGAGAAAGGGAGAAGGAAGACGAGAAACCCTGGGAACAAGGTTGGGAAGTGCGAACGATAGATAACGATTTGACAGAGAGAGGTCTGGGTTGCAGCCCCGACGCCACGCTTTGTGTTTTTTTGCTTTTTGGCAAAACATTTCACATAACGCCTTTCTCCATCCATCAATGCATAGTGGTTTGTGTAAAACTAGGACATTGCGGTAGAAACGAAGAAAAACAAGTACAGCAATCGAGAAAACTTTCTTCAAATAGCAATCAAGTTTTTGATTCCTGTTTTTCTATATTTACATACTTCCTAGATGCCACAAATTCAAACACTGTATGTGACACAGAGAATAGTGAACATGCCGAGCACTGTTTGGATGAAGCTACAAAGCCTGGTGACAAGGACTACACAGATACGGAGGGTGTGTAACACACACAAGAAAAACATTATTATTATATAGATTTACCCAAGCCTAAACCCGGAGCTACCCAGTTATTTATTTCACCCTTTTTTATCGATCATTTGTTGACATAACAACAGAAATGAGTTTTTCTCTTAAATGGAAAACATCTGTTTTCGAAAACAATCGTTTCGCTAAAAAACTCTCTCTTTCAAAATGGTTAATGCGATTTTCATGCTATTTCCCGCCAGAAAAACGCAGGCTGCCCAAAAGCCCAGTATCACGTACGCGCGCGCCAAGAAAACCCCTGACTCCCCTCCCTCTCCAGCCTCCAGAGTGTGTGCGGACGCTCGCTCGCTCACACGGTGACGTGATAATAAAATTTTCTCGGCTTGATGGTTTAACCAACAATTCCTACCCATGGTGCTCCGCTATAAATCCAATATCATATTTAATTAACGGAAGCAGTGTAGTGGTAGGAGCGCTCGCCTCTCACCAACTGGGCTTGGACTCGATTCCGGGCTGGTACATGTTGTGGGTTTGTGGTTAGTTCTTTTCCTTGCTCCGAGGGATGTACCTTTCTCTCTAAATATTATATTGATAATATAACACGTTCTCTAATTGGTTCTTAAGTTTCGTGCACGGTGATTACGTTTTATGGCTTTCATGGTCAATATCTAGGAATAGCATATGAGGTCACTGAGTCGAAAGGAAGTTAATTTGTTGGTAATGAGTGAAATTCACTTGGTTCATCGTTACAGAAAATAAAGCTGTCTCATATAAATCACTTTTCGTTACGGCTGTGTCGTCGATAGATAACAGTTTTAATCTTCGCCTTGCACAGATCTAGAGAGTGACGTACCAGTTTTGTCAGCCATAAAGAAAGCTGTGAAGGAAACTATAGAGGAAAAATACTTATCAGCCTTGGCAGCAGTGAAAAACGTGAAGGAGAAGAGAAGTGCACGGAAAAGTGAGTGACACAGTTTTGAGAAGGATTGAAAATTGAATTTTACTGTCTCAACACTTCTGTCACTCATTGTAGACATAACCGTGCGTTTATTTTTCAATTAATTTGTTTAAACAGATGCGACAAGAAAGATACGTTGGTCAAGAGGAGCCTCTCACGTCAGCTATCCCCTGGATGAAGATGAAGAGTCCGGGGACGAGGACTACAGAGATGCTGAGGGTGTGTAACGTTATTAATGACCACATTTCGAGCGCTCTGATTGGCTGGCTTTCGTTTTGGATTATTCGTGTTACAACATGTTGTTAGTTTTGTTTTATTCTGGTGGCTTCTTACCTTGATTATTGGTCTATATAAACGCAAGGGGAAGTTTGGGAGGATTTGGAAAGTTGTAAAATCCGGCCATGTGAGTTGGAGTTCGTCAATGATCGAATTCTTCCAAAGGTTCTATTGTTTGTATCAGGTAACGCATTTTTAGTTCGTAACTAATCTTTTTTTGATAGATAAACTTATTAAGCTACAGCCTAGGGACACTGCATGGCGAGACTCAAATTCAGAACGAGGCAGACGCAGCCCCACAAACTATGCATGACACCACCGTTTCTCCAGCAAACAATGTTGATTTTGATCATAAAAGCTTTTTCGTTCTTAGGTTTACCTTTAAGGAACATTCCCGATGACCCATGCGAACCCAAGAGAGTAAAGGATGACGTCAGCACTACCAAAGATTGGCCAACAGCGGCGTCAGAACAGATGCTCAGCGTGATAACGAGGCGCAAAAGAGCCTACAAAACTGCGTTTACTGCCTTGTCAGCGGTCACCCTGTTTACCTTCCATCCACTTCCGGAGTTTGCCTTTTTGTTCCTGTTTATTTACTGCAACTTTTTAATCATATTGATCACTTTTTGAGTTTCAGCTCCCCTTTCGGTTTTTGATATCTCTCCCTGTATGATTCTTCTTCCTAGTCTCCGTCATCTGTGTCCTGCCTTCTGCAAATGAGAATTTATTCCAGTTTTTGTTGATGAGTTTTAAGACTTTTTGTAAATAATTGCAGACAAGTGGTATTAATTTATACCATGCGGCTGTTAAATAATCCCTTTATCTTCTTTTGTAGATACATTGAAAGGAAAAAACTAGGAATCCGTGGCAAGTTTACTTAGTGTAGACGCGGTTATCTGTAGCTACAATGTTCTTGTAGTTAGACTATACTTAGTCAAAAAGCTCTATTTTTGATAAATCTCCTCTTTGTTTACCTTTTTTTGTTTTTACCTTCTCAAGGAGATAATTACCTGTAAATAAGACATCAGACTGGTGTGTATACCGACAAAATACACTGAGTGACAAGTGGGATATTCCGTTGTACAGAGAGCATTGCATAACTATTTTATAACTCAATAAATGGGACATTCGGGCGGTCCATGATGGAAAGGTTGGGTGTAGCACCACCCATTGTACAAAGGCTTTCACGTATTCTGATTGGCTGTATTTTCTATGGAATGATATAAAGAGTGATATTTGCGGCTCTGGCAGCATTATTGTAGATTATAGCGCCTCCTAGAGGAGAACGCTAGGATGTCATGATTTCATGATCGTGGTTCTCTACTGTATACAGTATACGATTATGTAATGGTAATGGAACAGTTTTTCAATGGCCTTTGAACAGCTGAGCACTGTAACCAATCAGAGACGGAAAATATGTTTTCTTTACCAGTAAGTTGAAAAACCAAGCCAGTAAAATAGATGCACGCTCATCTTGAAAATTTAGAATAAAAGGTTGAATTTTACGGTTTGAGGTTAAGGTGTATTAATTACAACATTAGTAGGAAACTCTCGATTGGAAGAACGGAGGGAGATATCTTGAGAACCAGCTTTATGGAATGAAAATATTCACAGTATATAAGACCCCCACACTCCTGGAAATTCCAATCAAGCCTCATACATTTCTTTAACTTTTTCGGTATTACAGATCCCCTCACTCCCCAGAAAAATTCCATCCCTTCTGTGGGGGGAGTATGGATAATTTCTGGAACAGCGTAAATATATGCACTTTACGATAACTCAGATGAAAATCGCTTTTGAGAGTTATGAAAAAGTTAAGCATTTAAAAACGTTACTAGATGAAAACGTTTCTTACCTCTTTCAAAAGCGAACGTACATTATTACCGTATTTGAAACACTCCACTGAAAATGGTATAGAATCATCTCGCACCTGAAGTTAATCGGTCCTCTGTTGCCAGTACGCCGGAATTCGCGATCGGATCCAAAACTATAAAAATATCAGTCAAATGGTAAGATTTCTCGTGCTGACTTCAGCGACACAACATGAAAGTCACTAAACGTTTGGCACAACTTCCATTAGTTGCAATATATCTTAAAGAAACTACGTTACGGTTTGCGCATGCATCTTGAAACGTCTGCCCAAAATTTTTCAAGTTCGTCGTTTGTAATCCGTGTCAATCTTCTCCATCCTTAGCCATCCTCGTTCCTTTGTGGCTTATTATTATATCTTTGGTGTTTTCCTATCTTAGTAAACTACTATTTTCAGGTTTCCTTCAATTTAAAGGTAACTTTGTACGCGGCCAAAATATCTCAAAATATCGTGACTAAGCTCCTTTAGCGACTTTATTACAGCTCAACGCTGTAACCGCCGAGTGGTGTGATCTAACGTGTGATTCGATCCACCAATCAGACGCAAGCTTGAAGAGGCGTAGCTTACGGAAAGCTTGCGTTCAATATTCATGTATTACCGGAGCACTACTGTATGTAATCGGGGAGTACCATTAATCGTGCGTACATCACTAAAATAAACCACTCAGGAAGTTTCGAATACATTCGCGAAAACGTTTGATACGACTGCGTCGTTGAGAGTTGAAAATTTTTTTGGCGGCAAAATGAATCCATGTAGGATGAAGAGGAAGGGACACTTGAGGCCTCAGGTACCAAGTGATTTCACAGATCAAAATATTAATTCTCTTAACTGACTGCCGTACATTTCTTATAATGTTTGTTGTAAGAATTTGTTAGTTCATCAAAGGGACATACCCTAGGTGATATTTTGGTTTTCTCATTACCGTCTTGCTTGCAAATAGACTCGTATTATTAAGATAAACTAGCCCAAGAAAGTTTGAGTAAAGTTTAAATACCTTTTCCTTGAAGATTCTTGACAAATTCTTGTTCTTCTGGGGTAAACTTTTTGGATTAAAACAATGTCAACTGAGTTTGGCATGTTCAACATAGCGTGACTGGTGTGACACACCATTTGTTTGTCGTCATCAGCCCATGGCGTCATGCCACTCGTGATCACTCCTGATCGGATGTGGTGTGATTTCGACCTCCTTCTCAATCGACCAATCAACATCGTTTGTATGCTGGGGTGTCTAGAAATTGTTGTGGCATGACTTCTAAACTACCCTGAAACAATAATATCTTGTTTGTTCGGAGTGGAATTCACTTTGAACATTCTTTGATTAAACTTCGTTATGAGGGAATGAAGAATCTTGACCATATTCTTAATTATTATCTTGCCATCTTATTTGTTTTTGCTTTGCTCGGTTAATTTCTTAGTAAAGCCAGTTCGAGCCAACACAAACTTGGAAAAATGAACAATTCCCAGTAGAATCCAAAATGTGTTTGTTTGTTGGCAAAATTTCTCGTGAAGTAGCGTTAAGTTATTAGAATACAAAGGAATTGTGTAGCGGTTCTTTTTATCGTCACCATCACTGCTACTTCATCCACGAAGTGATTATACGGTCCATGAAATCCACCAGTCAGAGGCAGTCTTAGAATTAAAATTATAAACTTGTTCTTGTGTTTTGCTCATGCAAATACAGTGAAGTTTAGCTGTATGTTTTTCGGATACCAGGAAAACAAGATAACTTTTTGAGCTTGCCAATGCAACTACAGGAGTTTAGTGAGCCGGAAGAAATTATTTGAACAAGACAAAGGATACTTTAGTAGAATTACGCCTGCGCTTTTCCAGGGTCACCGAAGCGTGAGTGGCGTGACGTGACGTCATAAGCTGATTACACGTTCAGTTGTGGTGTGATTTTGACCTTCCAGTACATCCACCGATCAGCGGCTTTGGAATTCTGAGGCGCCGCGACAGAGCTGTGGCATGACACTCGAAATCGTTTTGATAAAGGAAATAATAACTATGTCGAAGCTACTTGAAATAAGCAAACAAGCAAATGTTCTTCAAATAAATGATAGAATCATTAGAAGCTTTAACTTCCTGGGTCATTCCCCCGGTATACATAACGGACGAGGAAATAATTTCCAAACGAAAGGTAAAACCTTTGTTTTTCTCTCTATGTCAGACACTCGGATTGCGCTTTGAAAAAGGATATACGATAGCTGAACAAAAGTTTTCTTCAAATATAATCATTAGTAATGATGACTTCCTGGGAAATTCCTCTATATAAATAACGGACGAGAAAACTTCAAGCACAATGGTTACATCATTGTTTTTTTGTTCGTACGTCAGATAGCAAAAAGAAGATTTCAAAGGTTTCTAGGCTGTTCTTCTTAATTTCATAACCAGACCTTTTGTTTGTCTTTGAAGTCTATTGTGTGACCTAGCAAGTGAAAGCTATGGAGCAGTGCTGTTTGTTTCCTGATATTTTTCAAAATTTAGATTTTTTTCCCCTTGAAATATTGGCTACTGCCTCAGTTGTAGCCCAAGTATCAAAGGAAGGCTTTCTTTGCTAATAGGACGACTAAGTAAAAGACTAGTCATTGTACTGCCTTTTAGTCTGTGAAGCGTTGTAATGACTCTCCCACACATAACTGAACTATAGTACAATGAACTTCGACCGCAGAATTTGTTAATATACTTACAAGAGTTTTTGGTATTTCCTGTGTTATAAATAGTTCACAAATTCGGTGTTTTTCTTTTCACAGATAACAGAATTAACACGCTGAATCGTAGCATAAGCCGTTTTCGATCAAACAAAGTCTTCGTGAAAGTTGCGAGGCATTAAGCATGAAATCAGAAACACGGAGGTGTCACACTTGGGCGTATAGGAAGGACTCTTGGAAGGTTTTACTCCTAGCAGAAGCTTTTCATATTGCAATTTTGAATGTGTTATTCTTTTCTAGCACCCACAGTAGCAACAAAATGAGCCAAAAACTGTTAGCCTACTAGGCCGTGTCTTCTTACTCTGAACCCGGTATTACAATACGTGCACCACACCCCTGACACGTATGTAGTAGTGTCCCCCCTGATCTCTTTAACGGAACAGACCCGGAACAAAGCTTGGAGCGTGTTTTGTTGATTACCTCATGGTTGAGGGGTTTTAGTGTTTTCACGCCCCTGAATTGATGAAACGTGAACAATAAAAGCATACAGATGTCAACAACCCGCAAACACATCGTTGAACTCCTTGTCAAAGAGGGTTCTTCAAGTTAGTAAATATCGATCGTGTCGCCGGTATTAGCCCTTGGAGTCGGTGAAGTAACTTTTATTTACAACGTTTTGTGCCATTTAATTGGGAGCTCTTGTTCTGTCACAATTTCTCCGCTGAACATGGCCGAATCTTATTTGTTGCCAAATCGTCATTTCGAGCTCGAGCAGTGTGTTAACTTTCTGGAGTCTAGAAACTCTGCAGCGCAGCTGGAGCATCCAGCGGTTTCGAGATACAAGACGCTCGTTAGCAGTGGCCCCGACACAGAGTTACTTCGCTTCCAGAGTTCGCTGCAAGTTCACGATGTGAAGAAAATTCTCATCTACCTCAGAAATTTTGACATCTGTGATCTGGCTGACTACGAGAAAATATCCAACCCCCATCTGTTTCCCACCTCGGAACTGATGGTGGCCGAGTTAGTGACGGTGATATCGACGAAAGATCCTCATGCTTTCTGGTACTTTGTGCACGCAGTAAAGAAGTTTCGCGGACGGGAGGGACTGTTTGAATTCTTTCACGGCGACATCAATTGCTGCGGTGAGTTTTAGTGGTTGTAAACAGTCAGTTATCGGCCGTATCGGCCGTATCGAGCTAGATTTTGACAGCTGAGCTAAGGTTTAGCCTTCCGTGTTTAATCCCAGTAGGCCAAATACACGAATTTTTAAAAGGCTCCCAGATTAAAAACTTGTTCAGATTTGCAGAGAACTCGAGGACCGTGTTATCAGAATGTTGACGTTAATTGCAGAGATTCGATGTTTTGAGATTCCGGCGAACTTCGAACTCGGTCGAGGATAAGAAGGAGCAGAGAAGAAGTAATATTCAGGTATATCTCAGTTTGCTGTCATGTGACCGTTTTTTCAGGACACAACCTTACACGACGTCGAGAAATGTCGTGGAAAAATAAAAATGCTGAATGAATTCAGGAGCTGGAAAATAAACACAACACCGCCACATTTCACTTACTATAGTTTGTGTCAACTGTATGAATTCATCAATGTTTAATTAAAAAAATGTAAAAACTGTAATCAAATAATTTAAAGGGTTACTGGCGATAAAAAATAGAACATTTAAGCGAAAAAAAAAAAAAGGCAAAAAGAAAACAACATCAGATGGCATTTTTTCTGCTGCTTTTCATTTCATTACTAGAATATAATTTAGATGGAAAATGTGGCCAAAATTCTGTCTTCAATCTAGACCCTAGAATTTTGTACGAGTTATTTCGATGTAGATGTTTTATTCAGTTGTCCTCTTTACGCCATGTAACGCACAAGACCCCATGACTTATTGCTTTCAGTCTTTAAATCTTCTAGTTTGCGAGGAAGTGCAAGTAAAGGAAAAGGAAATTGATGGCACTCTTTCCTTGGTGCTCTCTCTCCCTGAAGGTAAATGTCAACAGCGTAATGCTCTAAGTGTACAAGGAACTGACTGCGCATGCGTTGGTAAATTTTTTATTGATAGATGATGTAATAGTAATTTATAGATATGTTAATTAGCGTCATAGAAACGGAACAACAGGAAGTAAACAGAAAGCCTTCATGCGTTCCCTAACTGGTTTGACCGATTCAGGTCCAGGTTAAGGTCAGCTATTTTTGCGTGTCTCTGTTTTCGACATACGCGCGCGAGCTATGAAAAGACAATTATTTTCTTAGTTGACGCTGTCATAGAGAAACTGATTTAAAACTTCTAGATAAAGATTTGAAAGCTAGGAACTATTTTTAGCCTCTAGTGCAGGCGTCTTATCTGCTTTTCAAGGGGGGGCGGGGGTGTTGGACAATTTCCTAAAAAAAAAATTCTTGCAGAGCGAAAACGACTGAAAAATCGTGCAAGGTGAACCGTTGGAAAAAAATTGAGCAAAATGCTCACTACTATCTAGGTCCTGTGTTTGAATTTACTGAAAAAATTATTGCCCACCAAAAAAAGCAAGCTTTTACCC